CCCGTCTCCCCCGCCGCCCCCACCCCGCCCTGACCCATCCTTTCCCAAGCAGTCGGTAGCCACGGTAACAGCCCTGCCCAGAAGATGGGCCCAGAGTAAGGGGTGACAGCTGCTCCCAAGGGTAGGGATTTTAGGCCCTTTGAGGTGGTAGGTGACCCAGCGTGATCCTCCAAAGTAGGCCCAGCGGGAGAATCTTTCCTCCTCCCTCCCCCGCCGCCCCCACCCCGCCCTGACCCATCCTTTCCCAAGCAGTCGGTAGCCACGGTAACAGCCCTGCCCAGAAGATGGGCCCAGAGTAAGGGGTGACAGCTGCTCCCAAGGGTAGGGATTTTAGGCCCTTTGAGGTGGTAGGTGACCCAGCGTGATCCTCCAAAGTAGGCCCAGCGGGAGAATCTTTCCTCCTCCACAGCCCCTCGTCAGCCCCCACAAGCCACGCTCCTCTGCAGCAGTGAAGACAAGCCCCACATCACCCTCCCACCACCCCAGCCCCTGAAGTAGCCCGAGCAGGAGTCTGCAGCCCCACAGCTGCTGATGGGAACGGCCCCCTCTCTGCTGTAGGTGAAGGACACGCTAAGGCACCAACTCCCATGTGGTCTGGGGCACCAGGCTGAAAAATGAGCAGCTGCTCAGCACCCAGTCTCCCTCCCCCCCCAACTCCCAGTACCTCTCACCCACCGATCCACTCCCTCCTCTCTCCCCCAGCACCTCCTGCCCCCCGCGAGCAGCTGTTTTGTGGTGTGCAGGTGGCTCCAAGGAGGAGCAGCGAGGCCGGAGCATGCTCTGGAGAGGGAGGCAGGGAAGAGACGGTGTGGGGGCAGGAGTGGGAAGGGGCAGGAGGTTTGCAGGAAGAGATGGAGTGGGGGCAAGGCCTGGTTGGCAGGAAGCAATGGAGTGGGGGCAAGGCCTGGTTGGGGGGGGGGCAAACCTGCCCAGCTAGAGGGGAATTCGGCCTGTTGGGACACGTGACATACTTTGACCACAAGGGAGGCTACATCAGCGTGGCTGAGCAGAGGGATGGGCCCCTAGGGTGGGGTGGGAGGAAGGAGTCACAGGGGAATTTCACAGCGGGCAAGGGAATCTCAGAGTAGCTGGAAAATGAAAATCAAAGCCAGGGACCGGTTCCCTTCCGGCCTGACTTACCGGGGCGAACCTCCTGGGCATGGGCACAGGGGCAGCGTTCGGCACCGAACTCGGAGCCTTGCTGGAAGGCAGCTCCTCGGAGCTTGGGAGGGAGATGGCCGAGCCGGAGGATTTCCCCGCTGAGCTGCCACTGATCCGCCGGTAGGACCGGGTGATTTCTGAGCTGTGAGGGGAGAGGATCGGGGGGGAGGTTGCTTCAGATTCAGCCATCAGGATGGTTTGATGGTGTGTCTCAACCCTCTCCCGCACCACCACAGGAGCCCTCCCCCTCCAAAGCATGGACTTGTTCTAGCCAATGGTTTCTCCCTCGCTGGCCACCCCCCTCCAGCACCTTCCCCTCCAAAACATCTTTCTCCCCTCCTTGATCCGGCACCGCGGTTGGGGTTCAAACAGGCAGGCAAGGTAGCAAGAAGGCTGAAGACCGCACAGGCTCCGAGGGTTTTGCCTGTTTCGTTGCATATGGGGAAACACGTCCCTTTTCCATGTCGATTTCTCCACATGGTAGAAAGACACCCAGGGGCCAGACCCTGGATCATGTGGCCCTCATGATGCAATTTGGGCCCCTCCCCAGCTTATCCACTAGCAGGCTGCAAATCGCCGTCCACGGCACAAAGCCCTGCTGAAGTAATCCAACCCATCTCTCACCCCTGGGGGCGCACTCCTGCCCCACAAGGGGTCCTCCTCCCAGCCAGGGCTCCGGAGTCCACTCTACCTGAACTTAACCGGGGTTATTTGCCCCTGTTCTGGTGATGTCCCAGCAGCAGCCTGCTGCGCCATTGTCGGACTGGTCTCCGACATCCTCCGCTGGCTGCCGCTATCCGCCTCTGCGTGGGTTTCCCAACAG